CCTACTAATATGTTTCACATTTTGAAAAATATTTTTTCAGTTTTATTTCAAGTGCCACTTTCCAAATTTGCTTTTATCCAAAATTAAAGGGAAATACGATGCGGGAAAATACAACGAAAAAAGAAAATAAATAAAAAAAAATATGCATATTTAGGTATTTATTTTTTACATCCCGAGCGTCAGCAAAGGAAGTATTGTAATCGAGTCCTTCGGCCGACCCTACTTTGACGTTTTCTTGACCTTTCATGACCCATAGAGTACCAAGAATTACGTGTTCCGTTTTCGTCTGTCTGTCAGTCTGTCTGTCCGCCTGTCTGTCTGTTCATTTGTCTGTTCGTATGTCTGCCGTCGCGGAGTTTTATTAGACAGATAATCTCCGAAAGTACTGGACCGATTGTTGTGAAATTTTGTATTTATAATAGGAATATCATGTAGATGGTAGAACGCTAACCAAAATTTGTCTAATCATCCCCACCACTATTGAGATGCCGTCACCTCAAAATTGTACATATAGTACCTATAGGTATAAATGGATTTTAAATTGTATGAAATAACATAGTCCTCTACATGTAAAAATTTTGACGCAAATTCATCGTTGACATGGCCTGCTCCTCAATTATTAGGAATCTTATGTTCAGTTCTTAAAAGTCCAAATCAATTTATTGGAGGGATGAATATGCAACCCAACATCCATGAATCATCCTATGTTCAGAGAGAAAAAAACCTTACGGTATAATATTATTATATAATTTAGTACAAAACTAATAATACTGTGTGTTTATTAAATGTTTAGATCAAAAAATGTTGTGCGATGTTGAACGTATGACTCCTCGGTTTCGCATGCTTTTCAGTTTATAGAATTAAACAAACGCATGTGTAATATTGGTTGCATTGTGACACAAATCAATTTTCAAACGAAAGTTAGCTCTTGTTTGTTGAAAAGTAGAAAAACTAGCGAAAGAAAAGAACTTTTACAGATTTGTAAATAAATTTATTTAAAAAGCGAGAACAAAGTTAAAGATATGCGTTCTTCAACATTTTCCATGACTTCTTATTGGTACACAATGTTGGTCGTCCAGCACCTTTTTTGTTGTAGACACTACCTGCTTCACGAAATACTCGCACAGTGTTTCTTGACAACGTTGTAGGGTAAATGTGTACAAGAGTACGCACTTAGTGTAAAACTGTCAACAACTTTTTAATTTTTTTGGATAGACAAATTTTATGATATAGGTTCGTTATATACATGTTTAGAGATCAGATATATTTAATTGTACACCCCAACACCACTATATTTTAAGAGTAATTTCAATTTTTGTCAAGATGTGTAAATGCGCACTCTTAGACAGTTCATTGCACAAGAGTGCGCATTTGAACGCTTATGAGTACGCATTACATTTTATGAAAAAATATTTGTTTCTAAGGTGAAAATAAATGGGAATAAGTGACTACAGTCTACACATAAAACGGGAGACCTATTTCTTCGTACTTTAGGGGTCTTGAAAAGACGAGAAAACGTAAAAATAGAGAGTCGGTCGACGGACTCGATTACAACACGCTCAGGAAGTAAAAATAAAAAAAAAATCACCATAACCACCACCACACAACTTGAGAAGCAGTACAAAGTAGTAGAGTTAAATAATTCATTATCGTATGATATGTATCTCCAAGACTATTAGACTACGTATTGCAAGCAATGCTCACTCTTATACAATACCTCGCTGCGCACTCTTGTACATTTGTACATAACCCAATGTTTTCAAAGTTAAAAGCTTTTGATGGACAGAAAGTGTAAAACTGTTAGTGTATAACGACACCTTAAAAGTTACAACTAATGAAAATTATTACTGTAAAATAAAAGAACTGGTACGTACCTTACAAAAAACTAAAACTATGAGCGGTAAAAATTACATCCACACAACGTGTGAACATAAAATCGTCAGTACGACCAAACTATAAACTATATTCAGGTCACTTTTGCACCTTTATCTCAGGTTTAGCATTAAATTCTGAATGGTATAACTACATCTTACCCAGATGGCACTAATAACCAGAAATCATCAGTGCGTACTCTTATACATATGCGCATTCTTGTACACATTTACCCTAAATATCAGCAACGATAAAATTAAAGTCCGCAAATTATTCTTGGAATTCTTATAAAAAAACACCACTGTTATAATGCCATTCGTCTGTTCACTATGACAGAGAAACGATGACGGACGCCTCTGTATGGGCGAGCACCCCTTAAATTAGAATTTGAACTTAGTGCGACTGATTTTGTGCTTCTACACCCTTTGTTGTTTTAAGAAAATTAGCACAAGTAGGTATTAGCAATTTTTAGCGTGTATGTATGTTACTTAATAGGATTAATTTAAGCAGTTGATTGTTATTGAGAAATATGCAGGTACGAAAATCTAATACAGTTTATACCTGCAAATAATCGTTTCGGGAATTAGTTAAATTGTAAACAAAAACAATCTATAGGTAGTTTCATTTTTTTATCCTTAAAATTACAAAAAAAATTTACAAAAATATTTACATCTCAATATATACATATATACAAGACAATTAAATTTGATCCGCATTTGCCAAAATCAATACAAACTCACACAAGAGAGAGTTTCCACTATAAATCTCAGTTAGAAGATACACATCTTCAGCAAAATGAGGACAACCTGGAGCGAGTACATGGGCTATCGAATGCTGATTCATCGAACCAGGCTCCACAGGTTGAAGCAGCGTCACGCACTCTTGCAAAATTTTATTTTGGTGCATACATGTTTGCCTCAGCCACAGATTCCTGTGTTCCTCGGTACTGGTGTAAAAAAAATCAATTTTCATCTCCTCGTATTGCAAAATTGACTGCGATATCTTCGCGTAATTTGGGGAATCCTCTGTGCACTCGTGGTCTTCCAGAAACGTGTCATCGCCACTTCGTACCTTCACATATACCATGCGGAACGGACTGCCCATTTTTGAAGATGTCTGTAAAAAAAATGTAATAATTAATTACCAATGAAGCACCAACAATTTTACTTTGAAATAAAATAAATGAAAAATGGTTACATACCTTTTTAGTTGTTGCGGAAGCCAACTAAGTATAAAGTCTCTAGAAATCTTGGATCTTGGATGTTCACCACGTCGAAGAGCGTTTCGAGAGAGAATGCGGTTTTAAGGCATTTAGGGGATATTTATGGGGTGTTTTGACTTGTTCTGATTGGTCGCTGGCGTGACGAATAAGGGAGGACGTTAATGGAGAGGGGTAAACGATGTTGTCACTGTGGCTTTACAATTTCTAGTTTGAGCAAATTTGATTGGAACAAAATTCGTTATCCATAAAGAATTTGATTATTAACATGAGTTAAACTATGAAAATTAACACCTCGATGACAACTAAGTAATTACAATTAATTGACCTTAACTGAAATTGATACATTCAGAAAACAAATTAAACAATTTTTATTTTATTTGATCAAATACCTACTGTATTAATGCAATTGGCATGATGGAATTAAATTAATAAAATTAAATCTTTTTTAATTAACTTTGACCCGGTTTATAGAACGAGAATTAAAGTTAATTCTCGATTAAAACCATGCAAAGAAAAACAAACGCCTGAAACAAAATGAGTCAGAAAGTAAAGGAGTTAGATAACGACACAGAAATATGTATTATGATTTATAAGAAATTTTACAAGTTTTTAAGTAAGTATACGAATTAATCACATGACTTAATGAAAAAATTAAAGTACCAACGTCGGTATGGATCAATTTCGCGGATCCGATTACTGGTTATCTATAGATATTAATGCTCTCGCTGCGATGAAATTTAACTGGAAAACTATTTATTGTGACGCATTTTGTAATTGAAAGTGCATACATAAAAGTTTCCTTAAACAAATTAATAAAAGAGAATTAGATTTATTCTAGCTAAATTAAAACAGTTGGGTATGGTCTTGGAAATGCCCCTAGTCTAAAACACTTAGAATGTGAGATTTTTAGTAACTTTTCATAGGTGAGTTGTTATTATTATGTTACGAATATGTTGCAATGGATAAATCTAAATTTCAAATTCGCAATTATTGAAAGTTACAGGTACTAAAAAGGGAAAATCCATTATGGAAATTTTTTGTAAATTGAATTTTTAATTTGGGACACTCATTAATTAGTAGCGTAGGTCTTCTGTTTCAAATTGATATATTTCATACTTATAAATTGTTATATTAACTAAATTATTATTAACATTAATAATAAATTCATTCTGTTCTGAAATACCTACCTATCTAAAATTTTTTCATTTTCCCAAGCACAATTTCTTATTTTATCAGTGGATATGTTTAACGTAAAATAGTAATGAATTTCACGACTTTACGTAATATTCTTCTAAAGGATCCACCTTTAAAATTTTTCTGGAATAAAAAAAAAATCCATCAATATCACAAAATGTAATTAAAGCATAATTAAATTTTGAACTAAAATCTCACTGTATTAAATTCGTTTTTTTCTTGTAGGTACCATGTTAATCAGCAAAATAACAGAATATGATCCTTTTTTTATAGAGGAATAAATAATTTTCCATTTTTACATAATATGATGTACAGTAAGTAGGTACCTACCTATTAACTTTCATCAAAACACGTGGGTATTTTCCACGTCATTACTTGTTTCATTAATGCCGCTGCTTACTCCTAAATTCTGTACTTCCAAGAAACATTATTTGCCAGGAGCTAATACTTTAGTGATAATACTGTGACGGCTTTAAAATTTGTCAAGCCAGGTGCTTTAAATTTCACCGACCCTGCAACCTGTTAAATTTTACAACCCATTATACCTGGTAGTGTCCCTTAATGGGGCTGTCAAGTTTAATTTATTTGTTGTTGTTATTTTCTATTCTAAGGGGTCAATTCCAAGTTAGATTTGCACCCGGCGCAAGTGGGGTCGCCATGGTGACGGCGCAATTCAGTTTGCGCCTAATTCAAAGTCAAATTCCGCGGTCAAATTGCACTCGTATTTTGCGCCACTCGATGGCGGTGGTGCATCTCAAATTTGTACCGGCGCAACCGTATGTCATCTTATGTGTGGGACATGGCGGCCGGTGCAAGACAAGGTTTAGCGGCTTTAGCTCTCGATTTGTTCGAAAATGATACTGAAAGTGATAGTGAGGATGGTGAAGAACGTGTACCGAGGAACGCCTTTCATATTCGGCAAATTTCCGAGAGGATTCTGTTTCAGCATACTAGGTTGAACAGAATTGTATTTGAGTATGTTTTAGGTTTAATTTCACCGGCTTTGACAAAAAACACGCGAAGTGGACGATACAAACATCTAACACCCATGCAAAAATTGTATGTGGCCCTTCAATTTTATGCCACAGGTTCATATCAATGGCTAGTAGCAAGCAGTGGCAATGTTTCACAACCCTCAGCATGTCGTATCATTGGAGAAGTTACTGAGGCTATTGTGGCTCTTGCGCCACAGTTTATACGTTTTCCCAACGCTGAAGACTACCTGGCAGTGAAACAAGCCTTCTACCAAATAGGACAGACCAAACACAGACGTGGATTTCCAAACGTTTTGGGTGCAATTGACTGTACTCACGTACGCATTCAAGCTCCAACAACTGCCCCAGAACAATACCTGAATCGTCATATTTACCACTCAATTATTGTACAACTTGTTGTCGGACCTGATTTAAAAATTTTTAACAGTGTTGCAGAATTTCCAGGTTCTAATCATGATTCGTATGTGTGGAGAAATTCAGCTGTTCGAGAAGCCTTAGCTGAAGGTAATTTTCCAGAAGGTTGGCTCATTGGGGATTCTGGATATCCACAGGAACCTTGGCTCATGACTCCTGTTGGCCATGTTAACACACCGCCTGAATTGTTATATAATTCTGTGCACATTTCCACTCGAAATCCAGTGGAAAGGACAAATGGAGTTCTAAAAAGTAGGTGGCGTGTTTTAGATTGTCCACTTAAATATTCTCCAGGGAAAGTGTGTCACATAACTACTGCATGTTGTGTTCTCCACAATATTTGCACTGAACATAACCTGGATGTAGAAGATTTACAAGAACATCCTCTGAATGATGAATTCCCATGTCAAGAGCCTCAAAATCTCCATTATGACCAAATTAAAAGACAACTGATTGCACAACATTTTACCTGATTTTGACATGTATCCTTTTTTATTTAACATTTGTGCTCATCTGCAATTGTAGGTTAAAATTTTGTATGTTGGTGACTTCTACAGCCCTTTTTTTCAAAATTTATTAATTTGTATCCTTTGCAAACACAAATTTTACTTCTAACTCTCATATTTTCAAATAACACCCCTTCCTTAACCTGGTGGGATTTTGTCAGCCTTTACAGGGTCCCACTAGATATTTCCACAATTGCTTGTTCCACACTGTTAAATTTAATACTTGCTTTTTTTTGCTAGTTCTATTAATAGCACGTTTTGGATTCATTTTATTCTGCAAGGATTAATTTCAAAATTTCCATTGTGGAAAGTAACCGAACTGACAAAAAAATTACAACTTAATTTTTAAACTAAATAAATAGAGATGTACCGACTGTAGGTCTGGCCGACTAACTGACTAGCCGATTGTTCGGCCAGTAAAAACCGACTAGTCGGCCGACTGTTCGGCTTTGCTAAAACCGGTTTATAAATGCGACAGGCAGTGTGTTTTTTTTTTCTATTTCTCTGACTACCTTAAAAATTTGTTTTATTTTATAAAAGGAATAACTAAAGTTCCTTTGTTTTCCAAAAAATGTGTTAAATTTATTTGGATAATTTTAACATTTAATTTTTTTTTAGTAACTCAGTACAAAAATAAAGAATAACACAATTTAGGGCCAGTTTATACAATATTTTAACTAAGATTAAGTTGATCGCGCATTTAACAAGGCCATTAGCAACGTCTCATTGGCGTAGAGTCGGTCACATGGTACTTTAACGCGGGGTTAAAAATTAAATCGCAATTAAATATTTAATTGAGGTTCTGTGAACCGGGTTTAATTGTTTTATATGCTATTTTAATTTTAGTAAAAAAAGCCGACCGGTCAGCCACTAGTCGGTACATCCCTATAAATAAATAATTCAATAAATGATCAAAGTAACAAGTATATGATGTTTATTTAATGTGAATAATAACTAAATAAATAAATAATGAACAATCAAAAATTACTATAATTAGATAAAATATTTAATGTGAGGTTTTGGCTTTTTTTATTTTGAGGTTTTCCTCTAAAATTTCTACCTCTCTTTTTTTTAGAGCTACCAACTCTCTTATTCCTTCGGTTACCTGACTACTGAAGCTCTTGAATTCCGTAAGGATATCAGAGAGTAAAACATTCTGCTGTGTTTGCAGAGTGGTAGTTCTTTTAATTTCATCCAAAACCTGTGTTTTAGATTTTTTCTTTGGGACAGTTGGAGGTATCACAGGTGGTGCAGTGAGGGGTGCTGGCAGGATTGGCGAAACTGAAACTCTGGGAGGAGAGGAAGTAGGGCTAGGTCCAGTGGAACACATGTTATACTCTGTAAAAGGTGGAAATAATAAACTATTAATATATTTGCAAAGTAATTATGGTTATTTAAAAATGATATGTGTATATTATTACTGTATCGATGTTGAAACTATCTTGTTGTCTATTTATAAATAAAACTATTTTATAAACCTATACATACCTTCAGTGGGGCTTAATGAAATTTCAAGGTATGGTGGAGGGATCAGGAGAGGAGTTGGTTCGTTAACAACTAAAAAAAAGTACAAATAATGCAAGCAATTCAGTAAAAATAGATCTTTATTAACGTTTGTGTTAATAAATATACCTGTAAATGTTTTATTGAAGCATTTTTTTTTACGTTTCAGTTGATAATAAATTAAGTAAAAGCATTTACATAATAATATCAAATATACTTACCCCTTTTTTGGAATGTATCAATTCCTCCAGCGATCCCCTCGATACTTTCTGTTCCAATGAATGAGATGATTTTTTGTTCCATCTCATTCAGAGGAGTTTCCTCGTTTTCGCCCCCACCGGTCTTTTTGGTACTTCTTTTAAAGGCATTCGCCTTTTGTTTTGTCCTGGTTTTAAGGTCTTTAAATTTCTTTTTTATGTCCTTCGTCGTGCGAACCACTGGTGCCACTGCGTTTACTGCCTCCACTACTTTCTCCCATGCCCTGTCCCGATGGTACTGTGTTAAAGTTGGACCTTGCAAAGGCCCAAACAAAAACTTTCTCCGCGCCTCAATTGCATCCACTAATGCTAGCAGCTCTGTTTTGGTAAAATTTTTACCTCTTGCTTTGATGCTACAATTAGCGATTTTGTGATTAATTTTAATATATGTGGTACCCATTACTTTTTAAAACTTGTCCGTGAAATAAAAGCATAAATTACTTACGATTTATTTGCCATGGTTTAATATTTTTAAATTCGAAATATGTAGCTGACGCTTGCGTACTCCTGCATTGACAGTTAAATTGACATTTGACAGAACAACCACACCCAATCAAAGTAAAATGCTGTGGCTAATGTTCCGCCGTTGCGCCTACATTGCGCGGGTGCAACTTTGTTACTTAGAATTTGGACGCAACTCGAGGCGCAACAAGGGCGCAAATCAGAGGTGCAAAGTTGCGCTGCGCCCATGATTTGCGCCCTGAACTTGGAATTGACCCCTATAAGTAATAATCTACTTAAGAAGGGTTCCCCACCTTGATCCAACTTCGTTTTGAGAAGTGAACAATATTTTATTAACGAAAATGTGTTTATGCATATTTGATTCACAGAAGCTTTGAGAGAGATGATGTCAAAGTTATTACAATATTCCTTCTATTCCTATTGTTGTCATTGTTCACTTTTTGAAAGATTCTACTATGGTTATTAATTTTTTAAAGACCTTGCATCAAAAAATACGTTTACTGGCCACTCAGTCACAGATTTTTTTTCTTACAATAAAAACTGTTTTTTTGTGTTTATACCTACCAATATTGATTTTATTCCCTTCCTAGAAAGATCCATATAAATATTCACAGAGCAAGTAAATACTTCAGAAAAAATATTTCCTGACGCAGTTAGTTAGTTTTAGTGGGTTTAAGTTTAAGTTGTTGATTTTTGCACTCAGATACTAAAATCTAAACATAGTTGTAATAATTTCAAAAAATGGCTCCGAACTGTAAGAACCTGAAAAATAATGATTTTCCATTCTATGAAACTTTAATGCTTTTGAATATTTATTGAAAATGACTACAGTTATTTGGCAACTAGAACAATCTGGAAACGCGGAAAACCTAACTAATGAAAGTCAAACAATTTTTGCACACACTTGGAGGTATGATAAAAAAAAACTTTGAAATGTGTGTTAGTATATGTATTATAAACAGCGTTCTTCTCTAATACACTTACAATTACTAAATAGGTACATGTTTTAAAAAACACACACAATTAATCAAAATTATCTATTGAATTTAATCTAATAAAAAGAACATGAGTTTGCACAATACAAAGTCGGCGTTGTCGTCATAAATTTCTGTAACTATGAAGATCGGATCCGTGGAGGTTCTGTCAAAAACGACAGCATTGTAAGCCGCCTCCACAGGAATAAAATATCCACATCGAGCATTTTCCACTATCGAAGGAAGCGTAATCTCAATCCTGTCAGTGCACATTTACCGATGAAACATTTCTTGCTTTAACCGGAGATCTAGATATTGTGTGGAACTTCGATAGAAATAGTTGAAGTCGACCACTCCGTTCCAGAAGATCGATTTCGACGTGTTTATGCGATGGACGTCGGTGTCGTCGCAGTAGTGATAATCATAAGGGACGTTGTTGTGTCCCCGGAAAACGATAAGTTCCATGCGGAAATCGTGAAAATCTATGGCTGCAGGCAGCTGGAAAAAAATATGAATTAGCCACTGGATTTCGAGATGATGGTTTGAAAAATGTAGTTTTTTTAGAAAAGGAGAAAATGAAGTCTATATACATACCTTAGTTTTCAAAACACTTGGCTAACCAATCGACGAACAGAGGCAAAAAAAAAGATTTATGCATGGAATTTCGAGAACATTTACGAAAGTGGACAAACGGAGTTGCAAGTAGAAGATTTTGAAAGTCATTCTTTAATTTATTCTAATTTACGAAAAACATAATAAATAACACAATATTTTTTGTTTAATTACAAGCTTTTTTGGTTTTAAACAATTCGATAGAAATAATTTTGTAATGATATTACGTCCAATAAACATCAATTGATAAAAATTAACAGCTTAAAATCTTAGCAAATCAAAAACGAAAACAGTTCCATTCATGATTTTATCTTAGGTAGGTAGAGAGAGAATGACAGACATAATTAAAGTATTGAAATTTAAGAGTTATAAACACCAGTACTGAAGCATAAATTGTCGAAATCTTTGTAATGAGATTGTAACACCTGAGCAGCAAACTGCTTAATTTAAATCTTGTTGAAATGTTTACATTCTACAAGAATTTCTCATACCTTTGGTAATTTACTGAAAGCAACAAAGGGTAAAGAGATTAGTTTAATGTCCTGTAAATAATGGGCCGTCATAAACTTCGGCCAAAATTACACTGGTACCTGTGGTCGTCTCAGCTGCGATCCAAACCGATAACAGCAGCCAATAAAATTTACATAAATTTTAGCTGCTTCTATGAATTTTTATTAGTACAAGGTATTGAAATTTTATCGAACTCTTATTCTGTGCACCTATTCCACTATTATTTTAATACTTTCCAATTTTTGTTTAGCAGAAGTTTTTTAATCAAAAGTGTAGTAACACAAGAAAAAGATTATATGCTTACGGTGGTAATTAGTAGCTTATTTTATATTTCATTATGTATAAATAAATTTGTAAACAAGGTGAACAATCAAATTTTCTTCATAACCATTGTGCAAAATCTGTTTCATACCGCCATCATCATTTCATCACTAAGTGTAGAAAATTTATTATCATATTTGACTTTCGCGCTTATAACAAGAATTGGGAAATCGAAAAATTTTAAAGCCGAAAAGTCGAAAAAGGAGAAAGCGAGAAATTGAAAAATCACTTCAATTCAAAAACTCAATCATCGAAATGTAAAAGTCGAGAAATAGAATAATCTAAAAATTGAAAAATCGAAATGGGCCAAAATCGAAAAACGAAAAATCGAGAAACTGAACAATTTAAAATTAATCGATAAACTGAAAAATCGAAAAATTGAAAAATTCAAAAATCAAAAATTTAAAAATTTAAACGTCGAAAAATTGAAAACCCGAGAAATCGAAAAATCGAAAACTTTAAATTAAAAAATCGAAAAATTGAAAAGTCGAATTATCGTAGAATTGGAAAATATCAAAAAGCCGAAAACCCGAAAAGTGGAAAGATCGAAAAGTTTCAAAATGAAAAATCGAAAAATTCAACATAAAAAAAAATGATGAATTGAAAAAACTTGAAAAACAGAAATATTGAAGAACTTAAAAATCGAAAATTCTAAAAGGTGAAAATTCGAAGACCCGAGAAATCGGAAAATCGAAACATCGAAAAATTCAAAAACTGAAACATCGAGAAATCGGAAAATTATGAAATCGTAAAATGGAAGTTAAAATTTGAAAAACTGATAGATTGAAAACTCGACAACGTGAAATACCTATCGAGTAATCAAAAAATCAAAAATCGAAGACGAAAAATCGAAAAACCAAAAATCGAAAATCCAAAATTTAAAAATTGAAGAACCAAAAAACGAAAAATTCCAAAACAAAAAATTCGAAAAGTTGAAAAGCTGAAAAGTCGAAAAAGAAAAAACGAGAAATTGAAAAATCATTTCGATGCAAAAACTGAATCATCGAAATCTACAAGTCGACAAGTTGGAAAATTTAAAAACTGAAAAAACGAAATGGTCCAAAATCGAAAAATAGAAAATTGAAAAATTGAAACAACGAAAATCCGAAAACCCGAGAATTTGAAAAATCGAAAACCTAAAATTTAAAGAATCAAATAATTGAAAAGTCGAAAAATTGAAGAATCGAAAACCTGAAAAATTGAGAAATTAAAAAAATTTAAAACTGAAATGATCAATAATTGATAAATCGTAAAACTGGAACATCGGAACATTGAGAACTCTAAAAGTAAAGAATCGAGATTTCGAGAAATTGTGGAATCCCAGCACTAAAATATTAAAAAATTGAGTAAACGAAAAACTGAAAATCGAGAAATTGGGCCGAAAATTCGAAACATTGAAAAATCGAAAAATTCTTGTATCTACAAATGTGATTTTTTTCCAAAAATCCCGTTGTCAGGGATAAAAATTCAACACGGAATCATAAACCACAATTTCAGAACTATGTTGTTTGTTAACATTTGAATAACATTTATTCGACAAAATTGTAACATCACACAAATCTGTTATTATTTTCACAGAATCTTTTCAAACATTGAAGAAAACCATGTTTATACGCAAAAAAATAAAGAAGGTAAAGTTTTACCTATAAAATGATTTTAAAAATGATACTGTTTTTCTTTTAGAAGAGGTGCCGTAGTGGTATTATGAAGTCAATTTAAGCAAAGCGGTACTCCCTCTTATGGCAAATTTCGTGTGATCTTACACCTTTTTTGTGATTTTTTAAAAAACTTTATCAATGTTCCAATTTTCTCCTCATGAAAATTTCGACGTCTTTTCGACCA